AAACTTGTCCTTATGGATCACCCGGCTCCACTGCCGAAGGACCCATCCGTGATGGCGGCCAACCACGCCGAGGCCGAGCGGTAGAGGAAGGCGAAGGAGGATGAGAGGAGGATGAAACAGCAGAAGCTGCGGGCACGGGAGCGAGGGGAGGACACGGACAGTGATGATAACGACAACAATGACGAGGAAGATGATGAGGAGGTAGTTGATGACACCGAGCATGGTGACCTAGAGAGCGAGGACCTGTTGACAGGTGCTCGCTCACTTTTGCAGGGGTTGGGACCTTTCCCCTTTCATGGAGGGGAAAGCGCATCCATGAGGCTAGCGGAGAGGAGCGGACCATCGTACCGCCCTCAGAACCAGCAGGGGCGGGCAGATCTGTTGCCGCGCCCGATGTGCTAGCGGAGGGGGGTGGCCCCACCGCCGCGCCCCAAGAGCCAGCAGGAGCGAGCGGATCCACCGCAATGCTCGAGGTGCCGATGGAGGGGGGTGGCTCTGCCGCCGTGCCCCCGGATGCAAGAGAAGCGAGCCCCTCTGTTTTCTCTCTTTCTCTCGGTGGAGCAGGGACTTGGGGGTTCATCCCCCAAGCGTATCCAACGCCCAACAACGCCAATGTAAGTCCTCAACTCCTCTGTTTTCTCTCTTTCTCTCGGTTTTTAGCGTGATTTATGCCCTTTTTTGTAGCGTCTTGAGGTGGCGCAATCCTTTGTCGGTGGCGCTAGAGAAAAGCGTCGCCCTTCAGGTGAGGCAGGAGCCATCGGCTAACGTCACACCAGTCTTTGGCGGGAGCGGCGCCACCGGCGTTGCTACCTCGTCGGCCGATCAGGCACCGCTCGTGGCGGTTCCCGTGCCCTCGGCGGGACAAGCGGACGAGGGGACTCAATGGACACCCTCGGAGGTCGTTGCGCAGCCGGCGATGGAGGTGATCCCGCTGCCGGCGAACAGAGCTGTCGGTCGTGCATGTGGCGTCAGCCACGGTGGACGTGACACCACCCGTTGAGGCCTCACCGACGCAGGCGGAGGTGGTAGTGGCTGCGAAGGGCAGGCCGTAGTCGAACGCCACCGTGGTGGCACCCAAGGCAGCGGTGCAATCCGTGTGACTAGCGGCCGAAGTGACGGCGCCCGACGTGGGCCGGACAGAGGAGGACGCGGCCAAGGGGTCCTCGGACGTTGCGGCAGTGGCAGAGAGGACCGGCGGGGAGCTGCTCCTATCCCTGACATCGGGGAGCAAGCACTCGCCTACACGGGATGAGCCCCTACTCTGGTGAGCGAATTCGCAGGACTCGTCGTCGACTCTCTTTACCCTCGATGATCTTGCTGAGAGCATGGAGCGAGAGAGTCTTGACGAGGGGATTGCGGCCATGCTGGAAGCTCTGAACCATGCCAGGGGCACCCTACGCGATGTCGTCATTCCCACTGGCCAGGTATTCACTTAATCTTGCCTCTCGCCCTCTTCTTTCTTCCACTACACCACAACACCAAGATTAGCGATGGATAGTCTGACGCTAAAAGCGGCTACAGCGACCGATAATCCGACGCTAAAAAGTTATAGCGACAGACTTCTGCAGATGCTGTAAGTCCTGTCGCTAAAAATCTTTAGCGTCAAACAGTACTTTTAGCGACAGACAGTCTGTTGCCCTGAATATTTATAGCGACAGATAGTCCATTGCTACTTTTTAGCGACAGATAGTCCATTGCTACTTTTTAGCGATGGACTGTGCGATGGTACATATGGTTTTAGCGACAAACAATCCAACGAGACAATTTTAAATGGTTAAAAAAATAAAATTTAATCCATCAACAATTATCCACAATAATACAAATGTCACTACACAACTAAGATTCAACTTCAACAAACATACATGCATCTTCACAAATTTGACCAAAACTTTACAACAGCTCACATAGATAAGCTTACCATCTCATCTATTTCCTCTAGAGACAATAAGAACATCCTTCGGAAAGCACAAATTATCATACAAGATTCCACTTGTTCCACCCATCACCCTTCGGATTGTTGCCCCAATTTCATTTATTGTTCCAGCTGCATCATCCATAGGGTAACTGGAATAGAGAAAAAATGCACTAAATTTTGGTCATATTTTACATGAAAAAAACAAATTATATCATAAAATTAGCTAACCCAATTATAATATCAAGAAAATGATATAGAAAAAGACACTGGCTGGAAATGAAGTGTGATACAGTGATACAACTAATGAGAATCATCAGCATCATGTATATGATTTCCACTGGACAGGAACCAGCGTTATATACTAAAGCTAGTAAAACCAGGTGGGACTTCATATATCGTCTTTTTATCACATGTCAGCAACACAATTATCATATTTCTAATCTACATTTCAAGAATAAAAAACGTCTTGCCAATGATTTGTAGTGCTTTGAACTTATCGCTTTTTCATATCTTCAAGAATAGTTGTTGCACCTCTACACATATGAAAAGAACAGCAGTGAATTTCTCAATCCTAAAATAGCAGTAGTCAAATAAGCATTGAATTGAATTGGTAAACACAATTTAACTCATTGTGGTTCCACAGTCACCATCGCCCACTTTACTGTCCCATTCATTTAGGCTATCCTTGAGATTGATAATTGCAGTAGCACTTGCTTCAATAGCAGCCTCCAGGATACACCCTTGCTTGCTCAGCTCCTGAGATGGAGCAAAAATCTGCAGAAGAATAACAAATCATGATAACTGAGAGACTGCAAATGCATATGCCAGTGTGATAAAAGACAAAAAAAAATGCAGAACAGTCTTGAAAGTTCTGTGAAAAGGGACAATGATAACAGAGCCCACGGTTTTCCCATTCTCTAGATCTGGCATTGAGAAACTGAGACGAAGCAATACCACATAACAGCTTGAAATAAAAAAATTACACCCATAACCCCTGCAGAACCAGCAAACAGCTACTTGCACTTCTTGCACGCTTCCACATTAGATCATAGGTGAACTGACGGCCTCAGAAAACAGATCGCAAAAATCCAAATAGGGAATTTGTTTTACCTCGTCATCCTTAATTGAAGGTGATGGTGGTAGAGGAACAGGAAACTTTGCTGGTGGACGGTTTCCTACAGTCAAGTGATCGACACTAAGTTTAGAAAATTGATTCATAATTGAAAGGTTCTGATAGAGCTTAAAACATTTCCCCCCGTGCTCAAAACATGATTCGGAAGTTTTGATAGCAGTCTATGTGTCTCAATAAATTCCCATTTATCTGAACAACCTACACTTGTTACAACCTTGAATCAATGTTTGCACAACACAGATCGTAAGCGAGTCTTTAGTATGTACAAGAAAAGGAAATGTGTGACAAGTGAGATGATGGTAGAAGGGGAAAAATAATGAAAGGAAGATAACAGTATAGGTCCAATTTATACACCAAAAATAAACAGGCCAAGCTGGAGCTTTAGTGGGAGCATCAAGTCTCTTCAAAATGCTATCATCGGACTTCATAATGGTAATAGATAATCCTGCAAAGGGAAAGAGTCTGAAACAATATTGCCTGCCTGCCTGGTTACTTAGGAAGCTGAGTCAACGTAAAATGCTGACATATGCATTGTGATTAGATAAACAATTCCACTTAAGTCAACTGCTCGTATATCAGATGATTATGAACAATATATAAAACATTTTCGTTTGTGAGCGTGACAGTTGGAGCAAAGCAGTTATCTTGACCAGTGAATGACTTACGAGGTTTGGTAAAATCATGTTAACTGAATGTAGAGATGACAAAGCTCATCCACATCATCATTTCGAGGAATCACGCAAAAAAACTGACCTGCCATATCAAGAGATGTCATAAGTGTGCCATTGTACACTCTGTCAACAGCAATGCCATACACCAATTGCAACTCAGGAACTGCTTTTCTCGCTGCGATCATAAGTTCCATGATAGGAGTGGCTCCTAATCTGCACATTAGAGATGGGGTTAAAGAACAAAGTTACAAACTGTACTCAATTCAGAACAAAGTGAGGAGAAAGGAAATAGCTACAGTTAAAAAGTAAATAAGTAATGTACACTTTCAAAGAGATCATCAGAAAAAGTGAATTTTAATCTAAGTACGATTTATATGGATAGACAATATTATAACCACGCTGCCATAAGCTCTCAATCCTCTCATATATAGCGTTAAATACATTTTGTAACAACTAATAAGCAGAAGTAATTAATGTAGTAGGCAGGCCAAAGTTAAATCTGAAAAAAGAAAAAATATCTCTAATGCTATGTCTGACTCAATCATGTGAGCCCTTCTAGCTATTCCAAGTCTCTGGCCTATCCGAACCACGTAATGAAGTGCTATAGAGATGGTAACAAGTAATCTTTCAGGAATTCAAAATGGATGCCCCCTACCCCAGCCACCATCAGTAAACAAAGAAATTATCCATAAAAGACGATGACCTGGGTACAAGTGACATTAATATGCAACCTTCTAACTAGATCCCTTTGATGTATGACGAGGGGAGGTAGAAGTCTCCAACTGAAACATACTCATAATTTTTAAATTGTTGTTGCTTTCCCATGTATGATATTTTTTTCACTAAAAGTCTAGTGTTGTATATCCATGATAAGTTTACTGGAAACAACTTTCACATTAACCCATAAAAAGAAAGTGCAACTCCCCATTCCAAGTCTAGCAGCTAACTGTACAAGGTTTAGTCACTATATTTGATGTACAGGGTGCAGGGTGCTGGCTTAGATTAGAAACGTGTGTTTCATGAACAAGCAGTATATCTTTGATTCCAGTTAAGATCACTATTGGTTAGTGTTTAGTGTTCATCTTAATATAATGATACGCAGCTCTCCTGCGTGTTCGAGAAAAAGTGTTTAGTGTTCATGCAGATAGCACATCAGCTTACTTAAAAAGGCACTCCCATTATTTTAGATGAGCATAGTAAATAGTTAAATACTTAAATTAGAGGGAAAAGGCTGCTTGCATGAAAAAGCAGATCAGATGAGTGTTAAAGAGATTTTTTCAGGTCAACTTGGCTGAGTGAAAGAATGTAACATGCCAGTAACTGGGGATGAGCCTAAGAGGAAAATCTAGGATAGAAAATACAATGGCAACAACAAAATACCTTATGCACAAGAATTGTTCCAGCTAAACCTCTTCTACCAGCTATCCCTCTAGGTGGGGGAAGGGCACAATCATCTCCAACAATGACCATCTACAATTGGAGGATAAATGATACATAGTCATTAAAATTAATATGATCTGCCACACAACATAGTAATATGTGTGTTTTTCAACCTCCATCTTATAGCCTTCAGATTTTGCCTGCTCAGCAGCTAATCCAAAATTCAGTCTATCACCAGTGTAGTTCTGCAAATGTTTGGCAATTGAAGGTAAGAAGAAATGAAGCTTAGTAAGATGAGAGCAGTGCAATGCTTCACAGTTTACACTTATAAAATTGAACAAAATGGAGCACTGTAGTTTAAAAATAATGGAGAAAAGTACCAGTATCCCTACATCAAGCATACACATTTATCCAAAACAGCCCACGGTTTGGCCCCTTTCAAAGCAAATACAGATGTACCACAGATTTCTTATTGAACTAAAAATTGATATGTCCCAAGCAAATTTCAGAAAAGCAAATGTTATCCCTCCTCTCTATCCATTCATGCATGAACACAGGACGATAGGTGGAGGAAATGGTAGTTATTGATGTGGTAATAAATAAACAATGCATGGTCCCAAAGCATCAGATACTCATATTGCACAATCCTCAAGTGTACTAAAAGATCCCTCTTATCTCATGATTTGACATTTTAAAGTTGATATCACAGTGAGAGTACCTTTACTATTAGAAGGCACCCCAGGGGACCAGTTATAGCTCGAATAGCCTACAGTGAGAAGATGCAGTTAAATGTCAGCTAAGATGATTTATGCTACTTAAGAAGCTAGACATTGTTTTACTAAAAAAGAAACATACAGCTAAAATAGAATCAACAGGTGGAGAAGCGAAAACATCTCTAGAAACAGCAGCGGTCAACATCCCTGGCCCAACAAATCCAGCATGGGCAGGTTCATGGCCGCTTCCACCACCTATGAACAAAATGGTGCTAGAATAAGTAATTGAACTTGATATGAAAAAATGGAAATATCCCAGCAACCATCAGCCATGAAAGTTACCAATGAAGATATTTTTTTCATGCTGAAGTTCCTATTTGACATTTCTTAAAGATGGAAAAGAAACAGTATGGCCATATGCTTATATATACTATTAGTTCAAACAGGGAAACACAACAAGAGTATGAGAGATTATATACATGGATTTATGTATGATGATGCCATGGTATGCAAGAGGTCCATGCAATACACCGTCATCCGTTCCTCTTCCAGCAGTAATGTCTCCAAAGCAGAGTACAACGTGGTACTAAATGTAAAAGGATATCTCTTTTTTCATAGTAGTATACGAAAAGAGATTGATGGCATAAGATGATAGAGGTGGGTCATTCAATCGACATATCTTTCTTTTCTCAAATGGAGACATTGGTTGCATAGTGATATGTGTAGCTCCTTACAAATCACTTAAAAACTTATCTACTGAAAGTGGTACATCAGAGAAAAAATAAATTAATGCAGCAATATCCCTTCTCTATATGGATGAATCTCTTTTGTCATGGTTAGTAGAAGAAATGGGACAACAAATAGTTAAGGTCAGTGCTCACATCGGTGACAAAGCTAAATAGAAGTTCATACATATGACAACAACTATATATATATATGAAAAAATATTCATTAGTGAGAGCCCACAACAGTTGGCAAGGCTAAATAAAAGTTCATACATGGTGGTAGGCTTAGAACCACATATGACAAGGCTCTCAGTAGTACTGTCTGTCCCAATCCAAAAGACAGAGAACCTAATATATTTACGGAGGTCGGGATGGTACATATTGGAAATATTTGGGATAAATATAGCATGCACCACCACTATACTATTTTGCTAAGCTATAAGAGGTATAAACATACATAGCTAATTAAATATGGAAAATATATTTCCAGAAGAATGACGAGAGTATAGGAAAAACCATTTAGACCATGGTTGTCTTCTAAAAATCAGAATAATACGAATCTAGGTGACGAGCCATGAGACAGAGAAGAAGAGGGTGAGGTACCTCTAGATCTGGCCGCCAAGCCAATCCACCGAGGAAGAGGCAACGCGCGCGCAGACGGATGCGTCGAACACAGACACCTAGGGTTTCAATGTTTCATCGAGCCCAAGAGCGCACGCAGACCGGTGGGAGGAAGCCGCGTCGGGGGTGGCAGCCGCGGCAATGGCCACCTATGGGGGCTGGCTAGCGCCCGTGCGCCGCCGTCCCGCCCGCGCAGGTGGTCTTCCCTCGTGGCTCTCCTCCCCTTCTTCCAGTCCGGTCGGCCCAGAGGAGGTGGAGGGCCGGTGAATGGGTAGTGGCGGACATGGAAGGGGCGTGGTGGCGGGCTCCTCCAGATCCGTCGTTGCTGACTTCAAAAGTGGGCCCACTTGTCGGCACTGGCCGCGTCCGAGACACCGTGCACAGGAGAGGCGATGCCGGCACCGGATCTGGGGCAAGCGGTGGCCAGTGGCGTGATGAGCCGGGAGGGGCCGCTTGCCAGGACAGGCCGTGCTCGGGGTGCCATGCGCTGGAGGGGCTGGGCGACGACAGATCTAGGGTAGGCGGCGTCAAAGCGGGGGGGGCAGCAGACTTGGGTAGCGGCGGCTGGCGTGCCGAGATACCGGAGGAGCGGCGGCGGTCGGGTGGGCTGAGTGGCGGCGGGCGACGGGCGTCGGACCTGAGCTGGGAGCGACGGGATGGGGTGGGAGCGGCGGATCTGTCTCGTGGGAGGGTGGGCGGCGCGTACTGCTGCGATGGGGTGGGGTGCCGGCCGCGTATGGAGGATTTAGGTCTAGGTGGTTTTGCATTTTTTATTTTTTTCACAGCCTTTTCTATTCCTAAAGACAGACGCCAAAGTTGAAAACCGGGCGCCAATGCCAAATGCAAGTGGGCGCGTGAGCAAGGTGGGGCCCTTTTTTTAGCGACAGACGGATTGATGCTATACCTGTTTTCAGCGACATATAGTTTGATGTTAAAGATGATTACCTATAGCGACAGACAGTTAATCTCTAAATGGAGAATTAGCGTCAGATTGTCTGTGAGTTATCTTTAGCGTCAGATCATCCATCGATAAAAAAAAGTTTTAGCGTCAGATGTCTGACGGTGATATGGTGTTGTGGTGTAGTGTTCGTATATTTTTGTGTTCTGGCCGTCATCTTTTTTTCAGTCTCTTATCGCTCGCAGCCGGGAGAAATCTCGGTTCCTTCATGAGCATAAGGAGAACTAGGACCGCCTCGTTGACAAGGCACGGTTGCACGGGGATGTGACTGCCCAGCTCTGACAGAGGGTGGCCAAGTTGACTCCCCTTGTCGAGGAGGCGGGCAGCCTTCGACTGCAGGAGGCCAAGGCCCGTCGGGACGCGGAGGAGGCCGAGAAGGCATTTGAGGAACTATCGGCGAGGGCATGGTAGGATGAGGAGGAGGCCGCCAAAGTTCGGAAGGAGAGGGATGAGCTGCTCTAGAGCGACGCCGAGACCCGCCAGTGGATCCTCAACCTCCTGGATGCCGAGGCAGAGAAGGAGAGGGAGCTCAAGCTGGGAGCAGATGAGAGGTTCGTGGCCCTGCAGTAGAGGGCGAACCTGGATGCTGAGGCGGTTGCCTGGCTCCACAAGGAGCGAGACGAGCTATGCCAGACCACGTAGAGGCTCTGCTCGGAGCGTGGCATGGCTCACGGGGAGCGCGACCAGGCCGTTCGAGAGCGTGACAAGGCGCAGCAGAGGAACAGCTCCCTCTAGGCCAAGCTCGGAACCGCGGCAACCCGAAGGCTAGAGGCCGAGAGCATCTCCGTCAGGCTAGCCGCGCGTTGAGGCACGGTGGAACCTTCAGGCGGAGAGCGACGAGCATGATCTCCTAAGCGCTACCCTTGGAGTGGTCTGTGACGACCTGGAGGTGGTGCATCCAGAGGGGACCAGCTCGCTTGCGGCCCGTGCCGTAGATATCATGGTGCGGGTGAGCCAGCTCGAGAGGGAAGCTCTTCGCTTCGGGATCACCCAAGCTTTCGCCATCGCCCGCTCTCATTACGCGGATAGTATTGACTTGGAGACAATGAGCCTTGGCTTTGCGCCTGGCTACGAAGCCTCCGAGCTGGATGAGATAGAGACGGCGATGGCTGCTCTCATGCGGAACCTGGCAGACAAAGTTAAAGACATAGTTCTCCCCTAGAGGGGATAGTTAGTCAAATAGGTTGGATGAGCATTATTGTAATATGTGGACAAGTGCCAACCCTTTTGTATCTTAAAAACAAATTCATAGTTTCGTTTAGTCTGATTGAACTTGTTTTCTTCCCTTTTTGTATGTGAAAAAGGGGCTCACGTATTCCGACCCTTCCGTTCATTAAGACCGTAGGGCCCAAGGTGTAAGGGTAGAACTTTGATCACGCTGGTGAGCAAAGACACCATAGCCACCGAGGCATAGGCTTTTTGCAGTCCGACCAGGGATGATTAATTTATTCGTTTTCACAAACCTTGCCACTAGGCTTAGCGTGAGGAAGAGGTCTGACGCGGCGACTGTTTTAGAAAAGGTGTACCTATACCTTTATCAGCCCCCGAGTGAGATCTGACCCCTTGCCATTGCTGGGGTCGGATGTCACTGAAAATCAAGGGGAGGATAGCAAAACTTAGGAGAATGCATCTCTTGTATTCGCACGTACCCCCTCCCTTGGATCTTAACTATCATTCTATGATCGTGCATTAGGTCTCCTTGCAAGTCCAACCTTCCTTGAGCCCCCACGCGTGGCGGGGATTCAATCAAGGGTCGGCTCATTTTTGTGACTGTCGCCCCGTCCATAGTTTCTGCAACTAGAGAGGTTGAGTTAACGTTACTTGCCTCGGTGGCTCGAGTGACATGCTCGGTGAGCTTGCTAATGGGCATGTTTGAACAGAATCTGGTTCCGTCGCTTGTGATGGGGTCGGCAAAGCCCTCGTGTGGCATTCTGTTGCTCCTTAACCCACCTTCCAGCAGATTCCCCCTCAACGAGGATTCTGTGGGCTCGGCTAGAGGATAGGATCGAACGAGAAAGTTGAGATGACCTTGTTCGCTTCTAAGCGGGATGGGCATAGGCCGCTGAGGCTCATCTGTGTTATCTCCCCTGGCTCTTTGTTTGACACGAGGTGGCCTCGGGCCCTCCATGAGCCAACCTTTGAACCTCGGTCTTTCGATCTAGGATTGGGCGGCTCGAGCCCCCGAGCCCCGTGGGGTTCGGTAGTGCTTGGTCATGATTCATGCGTCACCCCGTCCTTGGTTTCCGCAACTAGAGGGGTTGAGCTAACGACACTTGCCTCGATGGCTTGAGTGTTGTGCTCAGTGAGCTCGCTAACGGGCATGTTCGAGTGGAATCCAGGTTCGTCATCCACTGACGGGATCGACAGAGCCCTCATGTGGCATTCCACTACTTCTTAACCTGCCTCCTAGTAGATGCCCGAGCCGTTCGATAGGCTCGGGTGGCCCGTTGGCCTATCCTCGATGGAGATTCTGTGGGTTTGGCTCGAGGTTAGAATCGAATGAGAAAGGTTGAGATGTCCCTGTCTGCTTCTGAGCGGGGTCGGGCAAGGCCGCTAGGGCTGATCTCAGTGTTTCTCCCCTGGCTCTATTTGACATGAGGTGGCCTTGAGCCCTTCGCAGGACGGCTTTTGAACCTTGGTCGGTTGCCGCTCATATTGAATGAGACGACTACCGCTTCGTGACGCGACGCGAAGCGTTGTGATGTAGCAATCGCATATGCGATGGTTGGATGTGTGAGATAAATGTATGAATGATTATATAAAGAAATAGCGGTGTCGGTAATGTTACCTCGATGGCACGAGTGACGGGTTCTGGGAGCTCTTACCGGATATGTCCATGCGGGGTCTGGGTCCGACGTTTGTGACAGAGCTGGTGCAACCTGCACGAGCCTCCCAATCTTCTGTATCTATCTCTCGGCAGTAGCCCAATTCGTTCGATCGATTTGGGTGGCCTGAAAGCCTCTCCTAGATGGAGATTCTGCAGGTAGGCCCCTCCAAACCCTTCCCGAGAAGGTGGAGGCTAAGGTTTGGGGTGCGGAGATAAAGACTCTGATCGCGCTGGTGGACTAAAATGCCATAGCCGCTGGGGCGTAGGGTCCTAGCGGTCTGACCAGGCTTACTCAAAGTTCATGCCCGCACACCATGCCTCCAGTTTCCAAATGTAAGGAGGGGCCGGGCAAATATAATGTCTAGCAAATAGACACTGTTGCTAGCCCCCAAGCGATGTCCGACCCCCTGCCATTGCTGGGGTCAGAGGCCCGGTATCAAAATTAATACGTAAAGTAAGTACGTAAGGATGCCTGTCTCTCGGTGGCGGCTTAGAGCCGTTCGATCAACCTGGGCACCGGTATTACCTCGATGGTAAGAGTGATGCGTTTGGAAAACTTCCACCGGATACGAGCGTGATCCAGTCTGCTCCTTACCTGTTTCTCGTTAGTGGCCAAGCCATCCGATCGACTCGTGTTACCTTTTGAGACAAGTTTTCCTATGGAAATAGAGACTGAGGACATCCTGCGTAAGAATTTAGTTAAGCAGATAAGCCAAGCAGAGAAACTTTGTGCAAAATGGACATGGTTCTCAAACTTCATTAAAGCAATCAGCTTTTTAGCTCTTCTCCCCCTTTTTGTAAAAATGGTTTAGTGCATTCCGACCCTTTTTGTAGTTAAGGTCATAAAGCTCGGAGTGTGGGAGAGCCAACTCTGATCACGCTGGGCGAGGCGGAGCCAGCCCTTAGACGTCGGACATTGGACGAGGCAGAGCTAGCCTTCAAACGTTGGGCGAGGCGGAGTCAGCCCTCGGACGTCGGGCCCTCAGACATCGGGCGCGACAAAGTTTGTCCTCAAACATCGGGTGAGGCGGAGCCAGCCCTCAGATGTCGAGCGAGGCAGAGCTAGTCCCCTGACGTCAGGCGAGGCGGAGCCTGCCCTCGATCGTCGGGCGAGGCGGAGCCCGACGTCGGGCGAGGTGGAGCTAGCCCTTAGACGTCGGGTGAGGTAGAGCCAGCCCTCGAGGGTCGGGTGAGACAGAGTTTATCCTCAAACATCGAGCAAGGCGGAGCCAGCCCTCGGACGTCGGACGAAATGGAGCCCACAGCCTTGGTGGTTTGGACGAGGCAGGATCCACTGGGAAATGTAGTTGCGTTCTTGATCGCTCTGATGAATTAGCATTGATGGGTATCAACTCCTCTTCTTCAGGTACCCTACTTTTGGTCCTCGACACCTCCTGCCGTCGGCGCCGCTCGTCCTCACCGTCCCCTGCCCCGACCACCGTCCTGCTCCACCGACTGGTTCGGTGCCGCGTCCCTCGTAGGCCGGCGCAGCCGCGCCCCGCTCCCCCATCCCTAGGCACCACACGCTAGCCAGCCACCCCGTTGCCCTAGCCACCCCGCCACCCCGACTGCCTCGCCCCACCGGCCTCGCCGCAGCTGCTGTGCCCCGCCCACCCCGGCGTCCCCGCCGCGGCCGCCGCGCCGCGCCCGCGCCGGCCAGCCTCCCCGCTGCGGCAGCCCGGCTACCTCGCCCCGATAGGCCGGTAGCGGGGTGCCGCTTGCTGGCCTCCTGTAGTCGCCTGCCCCCGGCCGTTGGGACACTCCGGTTGCCGGCCGCCGGGTGCACGCGTGGGCGCACGACAGCTTCCCCGCCAGCCATCTCTTCCTCTTGTCGACTAGCTACGCCTCCCCTGCACTCGAGGTAAATTAGTTTTTAAATTTAGTTATTTAATAGTGGTTATTAGTTGGTTAGTGTGGTAGTGATTTAGATAGGTAGAAAGATATTTAGATTGATAGGTTGATTGATGGATACTTTACATAGTTAGATATATAGTTAGTTACATAGTTATATAGTTAGTAAGATAGTTAAATAGTTTTATACTTAGTTACATAGTTAGTTAGATAGTTACTTGACATAGTTAGTAGTACTTAGTAGTTAGTAGTGAATTGATAGTATCTATTTAGTTAGTTATTACATACTAGAGACTTTGTACTTAGTATGCTTCATTTATATTGGACTAAAGGAATTATGCATCCTTATGTGTATGAAATAGATGGACAACCTAGTGAGCATATATCATGGAGGCACCGTGGAAAGAGATCGCTATGGATATGTTGAGTTTGTTGACATGCAAAGCGTGCCTGTGTTATTCAATGAGAAGCCTTCATTTAGTGATTTGGTTGCAAGGGCTCGGGAGAAGCTACATTGCCATGATGATGATGGCATCGCAGTTGAGGGTGTGTAGACCAATATCCTAGGTTTCCCTCCAAACATCCTTAGGAAGATGATCCCAATTGGGTGTGTAGACCAGTGGGAGAACTATGTGAGATCGGCTATGAACACTACAAGAAACACCCCCCTCTAGACACATTTTCTTTGTGACGCTGGTTGAAAGCGTATGTACATGGGCACATAACGACGCTTCTAAGCACGACTTTGGAAACGTGTCAACTGGATACGACATTTGACACGCTTTCACTGTTACAAGACATGTAAAGACACTTCTCGAGACGATTTTGGAAATGTATCAAAATGACACAGTGTTAGACATGCTTTTAATCGTCAATAGCGTCTAGACACGTTATAAAGTGTGTCATAACACCGTCCATATATATCTAAACACACTAATTGACACGATACTAAAAACGCCACAAAACGTTACAGATATAGAGATGCTTCATATCGTTTGTACCATCTAGACACGTCACAGAACGTACCAAACAATTGTTTATAGGCACGTAAAGACACCTTTTGATACGATAATAAAAACATATCAAGCTAACACAAAATTAGAGACTTTATTTGACCGTTACATGCTTGTAGATACGTGATAAAGTGTATCGGCTTACCGTCAATAACTATCTAAAAATGCTTTTTTTGAACATGTAGTGTTGTGGTAACCTTTCCCTAATTCTCTACACGTGGTCAAGAGGTCAAAACTTCCTTGCCTGTATTTTTTCCATATTATTCATAAAAAAATGTTCTCACACTCAACATTCCATAATTTTCTCGCAACAATTGAAGCCAAATAAAATACATGTTTTTCTCCATATTTTTCCAAAATTTTCACACGCTCAACAATTTCATAATTTTCACTCAAAGATTCAAGCAAAAGAAAACACATGCTGCTTTTTCAATCATATGACTAACCTCAATTTCTCAATCATACGACCAATCTATAAATTACTGGACTCAATTTCTCAATAATTCAAGCATTACATGTGAGTGGCATTGATTTCTCACTTAGACCACCAATTGTAAATGAAACTTCTTATAAAACATATTACAAAGAAAACACATGCTAGCAGCCTACAGAAACTAAGATGCTCTTCGATCCATCATGCAGGAACACATCCATCACCTGGGTGAAACAGAGCAACACACACCCTCCTGCATAGACAAGAGTAACCTGAAACAAATATGCCTTGTAATAAGTGCAACCTGAATAATTATTATTATATTTATGTATGTCAAAATTAGTGGCACTCAATTGTCCACATACTCTAAAAAAAAGCCTGATAATACCTGAAAGCCAGTTAGTCTAATTTGCTTCATCCGGTGGCAGTTCATCATCACCCATGTCAAAAGTATCTCGTGGCTTAAATCTTACCACAGAATTCCATCCTTCAGCTTTTGGGTGTTCAACATAAAAGACTTGCTCCACTTGTGAAGAAAAGACACAGGGATCATGCTCCAGTTTTTCCCCGGTGTGTATTTTCTTTGAAAAATTCACAAGTGGTAATCCAAACTCATCGTTTCGTAAACCAGCACGATGATGGACATCATACCAATCACATTTGAAAAGAACAACCTTGTAGTCAGTGTATGTCAGTTCTATTATATCTGTTAATCTGCCATAATAATTAACCCCATCTTCTGCAATGTTCACTACACCACTATTTTGTGTCGACCTTGCAGCCTCACGACTTAGTGTGTGGAACCTGAAACCATTAATAATATAGCCGCTGTATCTCACACCATGTCTGCTCGGTTTGGCAGCCAAAGCTCGAACTTTTTTAGTGATTCCTAGTCCATCACCTAGGATAACCTGTAGTGAAGAAATTAATTATTAGATCAATTCATTCTATTAGACTCCTCGCCTAATAAGCTATTTCAGTTGTACTACCTTCTGTTCCAACCAGTCAGGGAAGTGCTGGTCTATCAACTTATCGATGGAAGCCAGAGTCAAAGTAGTTGAAGGACACGATTTTCCTTTCTCCTCATCCACAAACTCTCTACAACAATGGATTATTTGTTATCTGTTGATGGCTTCAACATAATAAAATTTTAAAATAGAGTCAAGAGAAATTATAGTACACACTTATGAATTCTTCAAGTTCATCGCAGATTGTCGCAACACGTATCGATGTGCTGAATAAGAAGTCGGCTATCAAAATGGCTTACTGAGTAGCTTTTCCAATTGGTTCTCCAAAGACTTTCAAACATGTACATATCTTTCATATTGCTCGAAGGTTCGGGATTTCTAGCCGGTCTGTTAAAACGAGTATCTCCATCAAGAAATCTGGAACAAAATGTCATGCACTCCTCCATGCAATACCCTTCAAAGAATCGAACCTTCCGGCCGAGCTCTGTTTCTTCACAAGCGCTTTAAGCCGAACAAAAAATCTAAATGAAATCATGAACACTTGTTGTTAGTTGAACAAATTATTGACAATAACCCCGCAAAATGTAATTACATACCTCTCCATGGGGTACATCCACCGGTAGTGAACGGGGCCACCAAGTCTAACTTCTTCTACCAAATGCACCATCAAAGTGCCATCATCACGAAAAAAATGATGGTAGAAAAATTTTCTCCATATTAGAGTGTTACCACAATACTCTCTTGAAGGGTTTGTAGCTCATCAAGATATCTATCACCTTCGAGCATAACTTCTTAAAGAAATTAGATATTCCAATAACTATTTCCATGACATCTTTGCTGGGGTAACAGGATCGAGTGCCAATGGAAGGATGTCATGTAGTAAAACATGATTGTCGTGACTTTTAGTCCAATCAATGTACAATCTTTCATGTTAACACACCTAGAAATGTTTGATGCATAGCCATCAGGTGTTCTTAGGTTTTGGAATCTTGAGCAGAGAACCTCCTTTTTTCTCTAGACATGGTAAAAGGTGCATCGGGCATAGTTTGCTTTCCTTCATTATCTACCACAGGATGAAGATTGTGTCGAATTCCAAGTTCCACTAAATCCAATCGTGCTTTAAGACCATCCTTTGTTTTGGAAGGAATATCCATTAAAGTTCCAATTAAGTTGTCACATAGATTTTTCTCTAAGTGCATCACATCTAGATTGTGCCTTAGTTTGTTTTTTTCCCAAAGATGGTAACCTGAAAGAATATTGACCGCTTTTTCAACCAATCTTCGGCTTCTTCTCCTTCTTGCCATTGTTCCCATCTTTCTGTTTCTTTTGTCCTCTTTTACGCTTGGATTTGATGGCTTTCATCACCTTGCTTTCCTTTCTTTTTTCCTTTGTTATTTCCTTTGTATTCTTTGTTGTGAGGTCCTTTTCCCTAAAACAAAAACTCTACCTTCTAACATTTTTAAAATAGAAGTACCACTCATTATTTCAGGAGCAAGTCCAACCTCTACCATGCCATCAAACTGGTTCTTTTGCCTTCGATATATGTGGTTCTGCGGGGAGCCACCCACGATGTCCCATATAGCACATCTTTTACCATTCTTCAGGTGAAATGATTTTGTTGTTGGACCACATGATGGGCATGCATATGTACCACTTGTGCTCCAGCCATATAGGTAAGCTAATGGGGAAAATCATTTATAGTCCACAACAAAGGTACTCGCAGAGGAAATTTCTTTCGAGAAGAGGCATCACATGTTTGCACTCCTTTCCATAATTCTAAGAGCTCATCGATCAAGGGCTGTAAGTATATATCAACATCATTCCCTCGGAGAATCCGGTCCAGAATGATCATTGACAACAAAGAAGGATGTTTGCTTCATGCAGATCCAAGGTGGCAAGTTGTAAGGAACCAAGCATTACAGGCCATGTAATCGTGCTTTGAACTCATATTCCCAAAAGGGTTAAATCCATCACTTGCAAGACCAAGGCGTACATTACGAGCATCTGCTGCAAATTTAGGATATCTACGATTAAAATCTTCCCAAGCTTCACCATCCATTTGGATGTCGCATTTTTAAAATCTTTTGTGCGTCCGTCCTCGTGCCATCTCATGTCGTCTGAAGTTTTGGTAGTTGAAAATAACCTTTGGAGCCTCGGTATCAATGGAAAATAGCGCAACACTTTCGCTGGTTTCTTTTTCTTCTTAGGTCTAATTGTAGAACCATTCTTCTTAAAATCTTTCCAATGAGAGCTCGCACACATCACAAAAATCTTTCTTAGCTGAACTTCCTCGGAAAAGCATGCAATCTTTGGGGCAAGCATGTATTTTCACATAGTCAAGGCCCTAAAGCACGGATGATTCTCTTCACTTGATAATATGTCTTAGGTAGGTCTACATGAGGAGGATATGAATCAGATAGCACACCTAGAAGTCTTGTAAATGATTCTTGTGTCCAGCCATTTAAGCATTTTAAGTGATATAAGTTTACCAAAAATGACAACTTAGAAAATTTACACCCAGGATATAAGCTTGTGTGTGCATCCTTCAAGTATCTTTCATATAGATTCTGTTCACTCTCCTTAGCATTGTCATCTGCAGGATGCACATCCTCAACTACTGATTTGTTCCATATCTGCAAATCCTGATTCAACATCTACTACACCTTCAGACATACTTGGTAGTGACTCAAACATTTCATTCCTGAAAAAGGCAGCTTGAAGTAGTTCTTGCATGCCATCTTGTACTGCAGGAGCCCTTGAGACACCCAAGTAGGCAAGTTTGTAGTGTCAGTTGGCACGTCAACAAATGCAAATTGTGGACTTTCATACATCTCTCCATGATGAACCCAGGTCGTATAACCTTGAATAATACCATCACATCTCAAATGTGTCCTGACTTCATCATGGCTATGGTTTAATCTGTTTTTGCATTTTTTGCAAGGACAAAGTATCTCGCTATCACGTGGAATGTCCCGGTAAGCGAAAGTCAAAAATTGCTCAACACCATCTTGATATGCAGTATCCTGTCTTGGCTTACTCATCCAACTTCGATCCATGACCCTCTAACAAGGAGTAAGAATGAAATGAAATCAATCAGTTTTTTTCTTTTGCAAGACATGTTTGAGTACGAAAAATAGTACTTGACTGGCAGCAACAAAATTAATTAAGATTATTAGTTTCTATGGTAGATGAACTAACTTCCTTAATTTGAGTACTCAAACTAACCATGATCGAGTCCAACTTGCTCAACCATGACTAAATGAAAACGATGACACAATTTCACATTAACACAAGGCATAAAAATATACAAAGTTTAGACATTTAGTAAAAAGAAAGCATATCTGAGGCAGATTAATATCAGTAGTGAATTAAACCATACAATATGAGTTTTGAGAGTCTGCAATTATTCCACTTTAGAAAAAAAGAAAGTCATGTAGAGAGTCTGCAATTGCAAGCTAAATGTCAAGGCACGAAGAGGTCGTGTGATGAGTTAGATGCCAATAGGGTGGCTCCAAATGTGCGTCCAGTGGGCTGCAAGAAAGCTTAGAAAATGAAAGGAGCAGCTAATGGGTCTGCAACTACAGTGGTTGAAGAACAACGGGAGAAACTAGTTAATGCTCAGTCAGAGATTACTGAAGTCATAAGTAACATGAAGGACTTCCAAGAACGCATCTCAAATCAGAAAGTGGAAGCTGCCAGTATTGTAATCAGACCACACAAATGTGGAATTTAGAGCCTGTGTTGTAATCAGACCACGTAAATGTAGAATTTAGAACCTTTTGAATTGTGCCATTTATGTGTTTTCTGTTAAAATGTGAACTGGCTGCCTGAGTGGGATTGATGGGTTTTTTCTGCTCATTCTGATGTCCTTTGCATGTGTGATGAGTTAGATGCCAACAGGGTGGCTCAAGACACACAGTGGAGTATAAGAACTAAACACATCAAAGTTGGACCAATACAGTGCATACAAGAGGCAATAATTGTCTTAGAAATAACAGGTACATATGAATCTCTTATAAATCTGTTCCATCTCGTGCATACACGAGGCAATAATTGTCTTAGAAAATAACTGGTACATATGAATATCTTACAACAGCTCTAATAAAAAGTTCAAGAACACAAAGTCAGAACATGATATTGGTATGATGCCCATATCGTGCCCAAATATGTTCAACCAAATCCTTTTTTAGGTGAATGGATGGTTTGATCATGGATTTCAGCATATTTTTCAACCACTTTGGAGATTAATAAATCATGACTGTCAGTGTCGTCGCCATTGTCAGTGGTGGTGGAGGACGGGGACCGCCGGCCGCCGCCGCCAGCGCCAGGAAAGGAGTCGCCGAGTCAGTGGAAGGAAGGAAGCGTCCTCCTTTTCTTTTTTTTACAGAGTGTTACTGTCATAGTTGGGCTGGGCCGCTCAGGACAGGGAGATTCGTCCTGGGTCGCAAATTCGGTCGCGCCTGCATGCGCCCTCGCCGGCCGCGCCTACGACGTGGTCTTCTCTCTTGGACGAGCTCTTTGTTTATTCTGTGAACCGACTCAACCATTGTGCTTATTGGGCTCGCATACGAATAATTTTGTTTTTTTAATTGGCTAAGGTTTTTTAATTTAAAAGACCATATAAAATTCAAATAATTCCAACCATAGATCGTACGAATTTTATAAGATTAAATCACGACATTATTCCAAATCAGGCAGCAGTGGAGAAGGAGCAAGTGGTGCAGCACGTCATCACCAACCTGTGCATGGGTCTGCAGGCGGATCAGCTTCACGGCATGGTGGTGAGCTCTCCTACTGTACAACTGCCCGAACTTACAGTTTCCATTGATGATCAGTCTAGCCGAGAGTTAAACAATAACAACTCTGAAAACAACTTTACACTGATTGACAGGTTCTTAGATACAATTTCGAAACCCATGGTGGCCATCAAGATGCTCATTGAGCAGGAAGCCAAGAAGCAGAAGACAAGCGCCATCCAGAAGAAGGCTGCCGTGGCTCCGGCCATGGAGGCTTAGGCGCTGGTCATGAGGGGATCAAGTAATCAGTGTTAACCCCTTCAGGCAAGGGGTTTAGGGCGATACGCCCTATGTATCGTAGGTTTCGTCGTATTAGTAGAGCCCTGTGTGGCTTCTTCGGGCCTGTCATGCCTGGGGAATACATAGCCAAAAGCGCCTATTGTGGTATTGACCCGGAAACACCGACACATCTTTGCAAGGACTGCACTTTCTCAAGGCAAGTTTGGTCCTTCATAAAGTGATGGTTCAGCCTATCGGTGATCGATAATGTCGGAATGACAGGATCCCTGTACAAATACTGGCGAAAGTGCATAATTAAGACAGATAAAAATCAGAGAAAGGCGTTTGATGGTATTATGATCTATTTTTGGTGGAATTTATGGAAGGAAAGGAATCGAAGAACATTTCAGAACAAGTCGCTGCAGCCTAGTCAGGTGGCACTCCTTTGCAAGGAAGATATAGAGCAATACTAGTTGGCAACAAGATTTCATGATGGACCACAACAGGAGTAGTTCTAGTATTTGTTGGTCACTGTTCGGTTGGTCTAGTTTTGCGTTTTTTCGGCTTCAGGCTGTTTTTCTAGACTTTAAGTTGTCGGTGGGTATTTAGTAGGGTTGTCGGCCGGTGTGCCGTGGTGGCGGTGAGCTTGGTCTCCCGTTGTTTGTTGTAATTCTTTTTTCTTGTTCCTTTTTGCTCGTCTAATAAAAATCCGGCAAATCTCTTGCCGCATTTCTAAAAAAACATATTTTCTTGAAAATTTTTTTGCTATTTTTTTTGAAAATTATTTCAAAACAATATGAATATTGTTTCAGATTAAAACAAATTTGGTGGTACTTGCACATATATTCGTTAACATATATACAAACAATATTCCAAAAACATGAAACCTATTTTGTATGAACGTAATTTCGTATATACGATTGTACTTACATCGTATATGTACATATGCATTGACAAAAAAAAACTAAGTGTCAAATCATTGTCTTATGACAGTAACACTCTGTAAAAAAAAAAGGAGGACGCTTCCTTCCTTCCACTGACTCAGCGTCTTTCCTGGCGCTGGCCCAGCCCATGACAGTAACACTCTGTAAAAAAAAAAGGAGGACGCTTCCTTCTTCCTTCCACTGACTCGGCGACTTTTCTGGCTCCTGGCTGGCGGCGGGCGGGCGGTCCCCGTCCTCCACCACCACCGGCCGCCCACTGCCCTCGATCCTGCAGCGGCTGCGCCCGCTGCCGCCGCTTGCCGGCCGGCCGCCGCCAGAGCACCTGTGACCCGGCGACGGGGCCCT